GCCTTTTTTTTAAAACTCGCAGAAGATCACTGATCTTATTATCAAGAATGTCTGTGTATCATTTATATTTATACAATGTTAAGTTTTCGATAATAGTGTTAAAATAAAAAAATGAACTTAATATAAAATAAATGATATTAAGAACATAAAACTCTCTATTTGTAGTTAAAAAAAAAGAAAACGTAGTTTAAAAGAAATCATAAATAAGATTTTTATACCCTATAATATAATTTTTTTTAATATAATTTTTTCTAACTTTTTAAATCAATTGATATTTTTTACTTGTATTATTTTTCTATTTTATGCTAAGTTTTATTCCAAATATGAAAAGGACAATATGCAACTTTAAATTGTTTCTGTTTAGTTTTGCACAAAAGTTAAACTAAAGAGTCTGTTGAACGTAAAGTATATTTAAAGTTAAGTTATATAGAGATCATAAAAATTTAAAGCATATTGTTTACATATGATATAATACAAGATACATAAGATATATGATACAAAAGATTTATATACGTTTATTTTGTATAATGTATAAAGTATATTGTTTACATATGTACATAAGGCCTAAAACTTCATATATATTTAGCTTATATAATGTATATTTATTTATAAAACTATATTTATAAAACGTTTTATGTTTTATTTAAATTATTGAACAAAGCAAATATGATTATATGGGAATAGGTTTCTGGAGCATTTAACTTAAAATAGTTTTCCTCTCAAAGATAAAAACAATAAAATAATATGACTTGTAGTCATGAAGAAGTCGATGAGGTTTTTAACTAACACTTTTGCAGTGTCTTTACAAATGGTTAAAGTTATTCTTCATTTAATAATAGTTACTTTAATGATTGAATACGTATTGAAACTGTGGATTTTCCAACTGAAGCCGTGTATAAGTCTTTAATTGAAATTAAGCAAGCACATTATATGACCCTGATGGCATACCAAACGTACTTCTGAAATAGTTAGGTCATTTGTTGAGTATAATAACCTTTTGAGTATGAAAAATTTTGTATCTTCAATTTTTTAAAAAAGAGGTTATTGCGGATCGAAATAACTATAGACCCATCTCACTCACATGCACATGTTGTTGTGTCACGTAAAGAGTGATTAATGTGTATGTTATAGAGTATTTAGTTTATCATAAGCATAATAACTCATAATCAATTTGGTTTTCTTAACAAATGCTTCACTTATACAAGTCTCTTAGAATCTACTAATGATTGTAACACCCCACTTGATAACCACCAAATAAGGGATATTTTACATAATGATTTCCGAAAAGGATTTGACACTCTCTGGCATCCCTAATTATTTTTTAAATTATCATTGTATGATGTAAGAGGTAATCTTCTCAATTGGATTTTTGAATCCCTCACCGATAAATATCAACAAGAAATTGAGAAAAGTCAATACGCATTGTTAATGGAATTTTACAGGGTAGCGTGTTCGGTACCACATTTTTTTAATTATATGTTAATGTTTATTTAGTGGCAGCCGTGGCGCAGTGGTAAAAGCGCTTGCTTTATAAGCAGGAGATCCAGGTTCAAAACGAGCCTTGGACATATTTTCGCGTCACGGCAATAAATACAAAACATTGAGCCTTAGCAAAAAATACAAAACATTTAAGGCAACATTAAATAATAATAATATGAAAATATTATCTCAAAAGATTATTAATTAAAAAATACCAAATCTTGTTAACGACTATTGAATAAATTGGGAGTATTAGAAGACAGGAGTCTTCATAAAAACCTTAGTTATGAAGAAGTCGAGAGGAAACAGACGGGAAGTATGAAAAAATAGCAATGAGAATGTAAATTAGTAAAATAAAATTTTTTATATAAAGATAAAAATATAGAAATAAGCCTCAAACTTGCGCACCGAATAGAGAAGAAAGAAGACAACAAAGGCATAAGAAGAAAGATAAGAATTTTAGTAATAAAAAAACTTTTTTTTTTTTTAAAGACTAAAGTTATATAAATTTTAAATCAAGAGCTGAGCTTATTAAACTTCGATGATGGAAACTTCATCTACAACAAATTTTTTAAACTTCGATGACAATATAAACTTCATCTACAACAAATTTTTTAAACTTCGATGACAATATAAACTTCATCTACAACAACTTCTTTAAACTCCGATGACAATATAAACTTCATCTACAACAAATTTTTTAAACTATGATGACAATATAAACTTCATCTACAACAAATTTTTTAAACTTCGATGACAATATAAACTTCATTTACAACAAATTCTTTAAACTTCGATGACAATATAAACTTCATCTACAACAAATTTTTTAAACTTCGATGACAATATAAACTTCATCTACAACAAATTCTTTAAACTTCGATGACAATATAAACGTCATCTACAACAAAATTTTTTAAACTTCGGTGACGATATAAACTTCATCTACAACAAATTCTTTAAACTTTGATGACAATAAAAACTTCATCTACAACAAATTCTTTAAACTTCGATGACAATATAAACTTCATCTACAACAAATTTTTTAAACTTCGATGACAATATAAACTTCATCTACAACAAATTTTTTAAACTTCGATGACAATATAAACTTCATCTACAGCAAATTTTTTAAACATTTCAAAAACCTATGACGCAAATTTTCAATTTTGTGAAAAAGTTTTTAATTCCAAAAACCTACCTTGTACTTGGACAACTAAAACAATCAAAAAATATTCAAAGGTAAACTAAAAACTCTATGTTAAATATCTAAAAACTAATTGAGATTAGCAGCCACCTAGACTATAATTTATTTAAATTTATTTAAAAAACTCCACAAAAACGTCAAAATAGTTTACTATTCTGACTTGCTTATGAAGCACAAATATTTTGCTGTGAGTTAGGAAAATAATGAAAAAAGTTTCAGTAAACATAAAATAAGCATAAATTCTATGCCGAATGCAACAAAAAGTGACTTAATAAGTTAACAACTCAAGTGAAATCACCACCGAAATCAACCAAAATTTTTCTACAATAGAAAAAAGCCTATTAAACTAGATTCCCAAAGTAGATAACAACTCTGTTAATGAATTTTACAAAATTAACAAACTCAACTCTTAGTTTCTTAAACTTAATTTATTATGAATTAGAAATAGCATTTCAGATAAAAAAAAAGAAATAAAACAATTTAGCCCGATAGATAACAGGCAGGGGAAGTTGGGGTACAGTGGGTTGAGGGGCTTAGTGAATAAGAGGCATTTTCTCCAAGATTAAAAGTTTGTTCATCTTAATAATATAATCATTTTGTGTGCTCATTTATCAGCGATCATTATTTATAGTTGTTACCTCATAATTTTTGACTACCGGTATTTGGTAGGTAGTTTTTGTTTTTAGCTAACTAAAGTAAATTTTCATAGCTTCCTTATGTTTGTTATGAAGATCATGGTTGAAATAATTTTAAAAGATGAAGTTTTTCATTCGGATTATAGACATTTATGCTTCCTTTTTGTTGATTAGTTTTTGATTTAACAGCACTTGTGTCCCAAGAAATTAGACTTGAACATAATTTGTTATGTTTAGGCACAGTGAATCGGTTTACATGGAATTGGTTGATTCACTATGCCTCATTATTGATGTTGATGATTAAATTTATAAATTTATAACAAACAAATTACATGAAAATGAATTTATTAGTTTCAAGTTAAGAATAATATAAATTGAATAATTTTTAATCTTTTTATATTTTTATAAGTTTTGTTATCAATAAAACTGCATTAGTAAAACTTTTTTTTTTGTTCTTAGTTTTCAAAATATCTTTTGTTTCGATTTTGTGTTAAGCTAATTAATGAAAAGTATGCTAAAACAATAGCATAAAGTGTTTTTACTCTATCAACCTCGTGGTTATTTGGCTATGCCTCTATTCACTGTGTCCCAGTTCTGGAGCACAATGAATAACGTAACACAACTCACTTTAAACCTTTTTGTTATAATAAATATTTGGATTTTAGTGATTTATTATCATGAAAGACGTATATCTCAATCCTTTCGCCTTGAAAAAATAAAGTACATATTTTAACTTTTGCTGAATTTATAAAATAAAGAAATCTGATTCATTTGGCCCCAACCTCCGTTATATTGTAATTGACTACTTTGATGTCATTAAAAAAAATCTAGGATCCTTTATTTACGGATTTTTTACAAATAGTTTGAAAGCAGAAAAGTGACTTCAACTTATTTAACAGACGACGGTGCACACATATCAAATTGTCATCCTATCTCAAATAAAAATATTTATTTGTTATCGTAATTCTTTTTTTCTTTTTTTTTTAAATAAAATAGCGTTTCCAAATTTTGATTTTTCTTTTAAAATGAACTTGTTCATTTTTTGAAACAGAGAAAAAAATAAGTTTTATTTTCAACCCAAAATATATTTATTATATTTAGTATTTACTTTTGTTTTTACTCACACTTTATTTTGTATATTATAGAGATTGTGAAGAGTATTGTATTTATTTAAATGGTCTATGAAAACTTAAATTTACTATTTTGGCTACAAAAATTTAATAAATACAAAACGATAAATAATTTTCAGATGCCTCATTGAGGCCTTAACTTTTCCAAATAACTTTAGTTTCTTTTATTTTTCGGTCTCGATCGACGCAAACTTGATATTGATATGTTTCTAATAATTTTTGAAAAATTTTTCAAGTCTGTATATTATATTATTTTGTATAGTATATATATTAGATATATTATACCTAATAGATAACAGAAAAGACGTAGTTATTTAATCGGTTGACAAAATACTCAATTAAAAATTCAGTTAAATAAAACTTTAGCTAATCAAAATCTCAGCTAGGTAAAAAAATTAGTATATCAAAAATTACCGTTTAAAAATAAAAATAATCATATCCTAAATTTTTAAAAAATTTAAAATTAGGTTCAGTTTAAGGGTAATAAGTCACTATAATAGGCATATTAACTGTAAAATCTTTAGCTAGATTTTAAATAGTTATACAAACCTAAACAATCGCCCCATATTTTGTCATAAGTATAATTCATTGAACACCATAGTTTTCCATCATAATTAGCAGTCGTACAATCGTTGTATGTCACTGATTGGTATACAAAAGGAAAAGTACAACAAAGACCACGAGTTGTGTTTTTTATACAATCTATAATAATAAGTAATTAATATAAAAAAGAAGGTTAACATTAAATAAATAAGAATAGAATAAGAAATAAACATTCTTTTATGAAGATACTAGAATGAAAAACAATATTACTTAGAAATAAAACTAAACATTTTTTTTTGTAAAAAAGTTTTAAAAATTATTTTTAAAACATTATGTTATGCTACTATTATGTTATATGTATTATTTCATGTTTTTTATTTTCAAGTTCATAAATAAAGATGTTACAATGCAATTAATTTTAAACTCAAATTTAAAGAACAACTTTGTAAAAAGTTTTAAACATTTGATTTACAAAATTATTTTTACAGTTTTTTAAATTCAAGTGCAGTAGAAAGAATATAAAAAAGTTTTTTTCATTATATTTATTTTATGATATATATACATAAATATATTGATATATATATATATATATATATATATATATACATAAATACATAAATACATATTTAAAGATTTAATACAGTTTAAAGATTTTATATTTAAATATTTTATATCTAAAAATTATACATTTGAAGATTTTATATAGTTAATTTTATTGAGAACAATTATACCATTTCCTTTGTCTGGTCGTGTGATGATGATGTTCTTATTTTTTCTTTTTTAAATTTATGTTTTTTAGACAACTTTCAGATATTGTGTACCCAATAAACACGCTTTAGTTGGTCCAACTGACAGGCCAGTATTGGCAATAGTTAGCTAACTGTTGACATGTCGTGCCAACCATTAACCGACTGTACACCGCGTGTTTTTGAATCGTAAAATTTCCCGTAAGTTTTAAAAATGCATTTTAATGTTAAGTTACGTGGTCCAAGAGAATAGAGTTAGTTTAATTGAAAGCAATTTATCTTTTATATATATATATATATATATATATATATATATATATATATATATATATATATATATATATATATATATATATATATATATATATATAATAGTTATATATAATTGCAGCTGTTTAGCTAAAAAATGTTAATTGGAACAAACAAAAAGTGAAGGGCGTGGTGCCATTAAAATGGTATCAATATGATCTAGTCTCAGTTAAGTTAGTCGCAGGTAAGTGTTTTAAAAAGTTTCACCCTTTATTTTTGAACTACATTTATGTGTTGTGCTTGAAGAACGTTCTTTTTTACATATTAAATAAAAATGTTTATATTCAGACAAAAAATTAAACCTATAAAATTAAACCTATTTTCTGTCTGTATTTACTTGTTCAAGTGCTAGTAAAACGAACAATAGAAAAGAAGAAGCATTTAGTAGACTTGCAATTTTATTCAACATATTTTTAAATGGTCTGAATAATTTTGTTGTTTATATTTAGTTGAATAATAAAATTCTTTATACAAAAGATTAGCTCTTTAATTTTTATGTTAAAGTTGTTATTTCCTTGTTAACTGTTGTCTGTCATTAACAAAGAAAATAAAAAGTTGCATATAATGACAACAGATTTATCTTTAGTACTTTTTTCAAAACTTTTGGATTGGATACAAAAGACCAAGTAAAAATAATACTGACAAGGTACACTTACTTATATCTAAACATTATTTCAGCTTTCTAGTCTTCATTTTTGTTCATATGTATTTCATTTGTGCTAATAATATCGCCACTATTTATGATTTTATGTTGTTAAGTATAGCATCATTGTGTTTCAGGCTAAATTGGAGCTTCGATTAATATTTTTATCTATTTTAAATGAAAAACAACTCTCAAGGTGAATTAGCTTAATTTTCTTTTCGTTTTGATAGTCTTTATTCAATTAGTATTTTTAAATTTTTATGTCTCTACAACACTTACTTTCAAGGAAATTCAATTAAAAAGTCAGGTCATAGAAGATAAAAAAATATCAGTATCTGTTTTTACTAACTTTGCTTTCATAGCAAATATGAGAGGTGCAAATGTTTAGCTTGATTCAAGTACTACATAATAAAATACATCGTTGTACAGTCATTTTGATGGTCGTAAACTTCTTTAGCACACTTATTTTTAATTACTTTTATACTGTTTACTATTTGATTCCTGTCCCAATCCAGCCTAGTGGGTTCAAAAAGAAAGGAACGCGTTGATAACATGAGGGGGTTAAAAAGATCAGCCCTTTTTGAATTAACAGTTGGTAAGTCTAATGTGTTCCGCTCAGTTAATCAATTTTCATTTGATTTTTTGTATTGCATTCAAGCAATAGACTGTTTTTTATGTTCACTTGTTTTTTAGAAGTCGTAACCAGCTAGAAGTCGTATCCAGCTCGTATGAAAGGATTTCTCGACGTAAAATAGTTAATTTTATTCAACAACTCCAAGAAACAAAGCTCTATCAAGAAACAGGAAAAAAAGAGAAAGATGAAAACATATTCTGTTGAAAAATACTTTTGTTTTATTTATAAATTATTCTCATATGTTTAAACATATAAAAGATGTAGAAAATGCATTCTCTTTTATATTGACATCTATAAGAGGTTTTTTTTCTCGGCATCGGAAAAAGCTTTTTATCATACTTTGTATGAGGAGCTATTGTCATTTTCATTTAATTAAAACAGCTTTTCATATATGAAAAGTAGGAACACTATAGTGTATAGGATACTATAGTATACTAATAAGTATAACTAAAAAGTCGTTCCGATCCCGAGTAAAAAAACTTTTTTAGAAGTAATTGATAAACAAAACTGTCATAAAGACGCATTTTTTATGTTTTTTCATGACAAGATAAAGACAAAAAAGACACCTTTACGATGTCTAAAAAAGACGTCTTTTAGATTTGCATATTCGAATAAAAAAAGGCGTCTTAAAGACTTATTTTTTATATCTTTTCATGACAAGATTAAGATCAAAAAAACGTATTTTTAATGTCGAAAAAAGATGTCTTTTAGATTTGCATAGTCGATTAAAAAAAAACATTTTAAAGGCATCGTAAATAAGACTTTTAAAGACGTCTTTTTTCAACTGGGTTGTTTGCGACTCGGGTAGATAATATATATGATCACTTTTCAGTAATCACTTTCCAGTGATCACTTTCCAGTGATCACTTTCCAGTAATCACTTTCTAGTGATCACTTTCCAGTGATCACTTTCCAGTAGTCATTTTCCAGTGATCACTTTCCAGTGATCACTTTCCAGTGATCACTTTCCAGTGATCACTTTCCAGTGATCACTTTCCAGTGATCACTTTCCAGTGATCACTTTCCAGTGATCACTTTCCAGTGATCACTTTCCAGTGATCACTTTCCAGTGATCACTTTCCAGTGATCACTTTCCAGTGATCACTTTCCAGTGATCACTTTCCAGTGATCACTTTCCAGTGATCACTTTCCAGTGATCACTTTCCAGTGATCACTTTCCAGTGATCACTTTCCAGTGATCACTTTCCAGTGATCACTTTCCAGTGATCACTTTCCAGTGATCACTTTCCAGTGATCACTTTCCAGTGATCACTTTCCAGTGATCACTTTCCAGTGATCACTTTCCAGTGATCACTTTCCAGTGATCACTTTCCAGTGATCACTTTCCAGTGATCACTTTCCAGTGATCACTTTCCAGTGATCACTTTCCAGTGATCACTTTCCAGTGATCACTTTCCAGTGATCACTTTCCAGTGATCACTTTCCAGTGATCACTTTCCAGTGATCACTTTCCAGTGATCACTTTCCAGTGATCACTTTCCAGTGATCAATTATATACGTAAGACACATAAATAACCAATCTGTTATAAAATTTCGTCAATTATTGACAACAGTTGATTAGGATCTTTTAACCAAATGCAAGGATGCAAATGATGCATTTAACTTATTTATACGATTGTTCTCTTATAATTATGAAAGATCCTTTCTAAAAATTAAAAAAAACACAAATTCAAAAAAAAAAATTTATTAACCCATGGATGACAAATGATCTCAAAAAATCATCTAGAAAAAAACAAAAGTTTTATGTGAAATTTTTGAAAAATAATACTTATACCAATGTAATAAGTTAAAAAAAATATAAAAACTATTTTTAAAGATTAAAAAAACAAATTAAAAAAAATTGTTATTATAATCTTTTAGAAAATTCCATAGGAAATAGTAGAAAAACATGGGAAGTAATTAAAGAAGTAACAGGAAAATCAAAATTAGAAAAAAACACTGCACTTCTAAAGAGATTAAAAATCAATATGAACAAAGAAATATTTGATGAGAAAGAAATTGCTGAAAATCTTAACAAATTCTTTATAAAAATTGGAAAAAATTTAGCTGCTGATATAATTCCTGGAATAACAACTTCCAGTCATATTTAAAATCAGCTCATTCTGTAATGGATGAGTATGAATTTTTTGTTAATGATCTTAGAGCATCTTTTAATGAATTAAAAATAAATAAGAGTGCAGGATTTGACGATATAAATGTCAATGTTCTGAAAGCTGTTTATGAAATTATTGAATTACCTCTTTTTTTTATTTTTAATTTGTCATTAACAACTGGTATTTTCCCTTGACGAATAAAGATTGCACGAATTGTACCTGTTTACAAAAATGGTGATGATTCTTTATCATCTAATTATAGACCAATATCTATTCTTTCCTGTTTTTCAAAAGTGCTCGAGCGTATTATGTATACCAGACTATATAATTACCTTGAAAAACATAATATCTTACTCATCAAACAGTTTGGGTTTCGGAAAGGTCATTCAACTCATCATGCATTAACTGATTTAGCAAGTCGAATTTTAGATGACTTTGCTAAAAATAATTATACTCTTGGCTTGTTTATCCACTTGTCAAAAGCTTTTGACACTGTCGACCATAAAATCCTTCTGCAAAAACTCCAAAAATATGGGGTAAAAAACATCAACCTAAATTGGTTTCAAAGTTATCTTAAAAATAAAAAACAAGGAGTATCTTATACCAAATCTTGTTCAAACCTAGAAACAGTTAGTTGTGGAGTTCCTCAAGGCTCTATTCTTGGACCCCTACTGTTACTAATCTATGTGAATGATATATACCGTTCCTCAGAT